ACTAGAATCTGGATGGGAGACAGAAGTGGAGAGGCTGCTGCCATAACAAGGCATGAAGCGCTGGGAATTTGTTCTGGGATGGCAGCCTTTGGGACTGAAAAGATAATCCCTCATCAGGCCAAGGGATGAGGAAGAGGCCAAGAGACTTACAAGCTACCTCAGATGATTAGCAGATGCTCTGGAAGAAATGCAGCTTTCTTGAAGTCTGTAGGAAGGGGAAAGTCAGATTGCATGAGAACCAAAAAAAAAAAAAAAGACTAAAACAAACAGAAATTGTTGAGAGCTACTGAGGAGTTCAGCAAACCTGAGATTTCAACTCTAGAACCTGAAAAGCTTGAAAAGCTTTGGGGCATGATATCACCAACTGGAAGGACATGAGTTTGAGCAAGCTCCAGAAGTTGGTGATGGACAAGGAAATCTGGTGTGCTGCAGTCCATGGGGTTGCAAAGAGTTGGACATGACTGCCTGAATGAACCAAACTGAACTGAACTGAATTAAACAGTCAAGAGAATTCAGATCCTCTCCATCAAGGGAAGGGATGTTTTATCTGGTGATTTGACATCGAGGCACAGAAGAGAAACTAACTGATCTATCAATAAACAATGTAGGGCTTTCCTGGTGGCTCAGTGGTAAAGAATTTGCCTGTCAGTGCACGAGACACTAGTTTCATCCCTGGTCCGGGAAGTTCCCACATGCTGTGGAGCAACTAAGTCCGTGAGCCATAACTACTGAGCCTGTGTGCTGAAACTACTGAAGCCTGTGTGCCTAGAGCCTGTGCTCCACAACCACAGAAGCCACGACAATGAGAAACCCATATGCCGCAACTAGAGGGTAGCCCCTGCTCACCCCAGCTCGAGGAAGCTTATACAGCAATGAAGACCCAGCACAGCCAAAAATAAATAAATAAACAATGCAAAGTTCAGTAGTCATGGTATAGGTGCTTTATGGATACTAACTCATTTATTCCTAAAGCCATCACCATAAACTGCCCTTACTACTCCGTTTTTCAAATAGAAACCAAGGTCCCAAGAGGCTGATTTGTCCAAGGCCAAATAGCTACCTAAAGTGATATGTCCAAGACTCAAATCCAAGTGAGCTTGCAAAGCCTGTCCCTGGAACTCAGCACACCTCAGTGTTCTCTGGACCTACAGAAAACGGTCTGCTATAAACAGTGCTCATCAATCCTGCTTGAAGATATACCCAACATCCCGTGGGAGGGTCACAGGGTTTCCCAAGTTCAGCTCAAGTCACCCAGCATGAATCAAAAGCTCTTGTTCTATGTCATCATTTTACTTTTAACTGTGGCTTAGGAAAGTAGTACAGACCCGCCCATGACTTCAAGGAACTATCTGTTAGGGCCATGAGATAGATACATACAAAACAGCATGATCAACAGAAGACTAAATGATTAAGCTTCAAAAAGGGCTGCAGATAAAAGAATCTATCTCAGTAGTGGAGCGGAAGGGGAGGTCAGCATGGATTGAGATGGTTTGGGAAGACTTTCTGCAGAGGTAGTACTGGGGCTGGAGCACAGGACTGAGCAGAATTAAGGCAGTCTGGCAGAAGTGAATAGGGGCAGGGAGCAGAGATGATGAAGACCGGAAAGAATGGAGGCAGGGACAACGGACAGAGGTCTTCTGAAAAGTCAGCGCCCACAACAGCTCACAGGTTTCCTCATTCCCACAGGTCTAGGCTGGACAATGAGAATACAGAGGATAAAAACTCCTGGTTCTATAACCTGGACACCTGTTCTACAGAAATGCTCACATATGCTAAATACATAGATTCCCTAAGGATGTTCACTGCGGTACTGTACACTTTCTAAGAGTGAAGGGTCAGAACTAAAATGTCCAGCAACAGGAAATGGTTTAAGTAAAAGAAGATTAATTCAGTTCAAGGTCCACTGCAGTCACCAGAAGAATGAAGTTGATGTGGGGAAATCTCCACGATGTACTAGGTATAGAAAAATGCAAGCCGCACAGTAATTCTGTGGTTTATCGCCACTGATAAAAAACAAAACGACATGAATATATATGGCTCTGTCTGTCAGTATACATAAAAATAGAAAAGGATACACGCCAAAATTATACTGTGATTATTTTTAGAGACAAGAGTCGGACGAGAGTAAAAAGGAAATTTCCCTTTTGACTGTCCAGAGCTCTGCAGTTTTAAGTTTGCAATGAAAATTAATTCTTGGTGTTACGTGAAAGTCACTCAGTTGTGTCTGACTCTTTTGTGACCCCACGGACTGAAGCCCACCAGGCTCCTCTGTCCATGGAATTCTCCAGGCCAGAATACTGGAGGGGGTAGCCTCCCTTCTCCCCTTCTCCAGGGGATTTTCCCAACCCAGGGATCCAACCCAGGTCTCCAACATTACAGGCGGATTCTTTACCATCTGGGCCACCAAAGACTGCAATTCCCATCCAGCCTTGTGGTTCTGATGCTTTTAACTGCCCATGAGTGCAAAGAAGGCAAGAATCTCACAAACAGAGGATCATAAAATTCCACAGCTGGAAACCTCAGGGATCTTCTAATTCACACCCTGAATCCTCAGGAGCACAAGACAGGGCAAAGAAAAGGATCTGCACGAAGAATATACCAGAAGGTACAAACAAATCAAGTTCCCAACTTTTAATGCACCATTAGGCTAAGATCTTGGGAAGATCAGCTTATTACTAATTTTTAAAATATGCAAACTGGGGATACTGTTTTACCTTCTCTCAGCCAGGTCAACATTTATTCATTCTTTAAGCCTGGGCTCAAACGTCACCTCTCTTTAAATAAAATTAACTTTTAATTAAATTGCCAAATTAATTCTAGCAACTTTTAAGACAATACTTAGCTAAAAATAAACAAGTAAAATAACCTGCAGTCTTATCACCCAGACAGAGCCACAGTTAACTTTTCTTTTTTTTACACAAAAATAGGACTGTGGCAGACAGAACTAAACAGAATATTGTGAAAGGTTTTCCATATCATTACATTTTTCTCAACAACATGTTAAAAAAATTAATATTAATACATAACATGAAAAATAAGAACCCTTTGCTGAGGAACTGTGCTAAGAATTTTATTTCAGTTCAGTTCAGTTGCTTAGTCATGTCTGACTCTGCGACCCCATGGACTGCAGCACGCCAAGCTTCCTTGTCCATCACCAACTCCAGAAGCTTGCTCAAACTCAGGTCCATTGAGTCGGTGGACACTTATTTATTAATATTTATTCAGCATTTTATTTATATTTTCTTAATTAATCTTCAAAACAACCCCATGCACACACCAAAAACAAGCTTAGATGGAGTGGAACAACTGCTGGGGGAGGGTTATTGCTAGGGAATGAAAGAGACTGGGTACCAAAGCCACACTACTTATCAAGGGTCAGACTGGGATTCACACCCAGTTCCTACCAACTCAGACTGAATTCTTGATCACTACCATGCGTGTGCTATGTTGCTTCAGTTGTGTCCGACTCTTTGTGACCCTCTGGACTGTAGCCCACCAGGCTCCTCTGTTCATGGGATTCTCCAGGCAAGAATACTGGAGTGGGCTGCCATGTCCTCCTTCAGAGGATCTTGCCGACCCAGGGATTAAACCTGTATCTCTTACGTCTCCTGCATGGACTGGCAGGTTCTTTACTACAAGCACCACCACCATACTCCTCTGCAAAACTGGACCACAGCACATCACACCAATTTTCAACAGCTGGGTAACTGGATTGCTTCTAATTTTTCTGTGATAAACAGTGCCACGACAGATAACCCTGCAGTTCAACCTTTGTGATCACCTCCCTTCTGGCTAGAACCTTTCCCTGATTGCTCTAAAGCAAACCCCGCTTCTCAAACTATCTGCATCAAAAAACCTATTTTTAAAATTTTCAATCTACCATGGACTGATATTTTTGTACAATATAATGAAAATTAATTTCTAGAAATATGAAATGAAAAAACGCTTACAAAATACAAGACCCAAATAACTCTTAGTGAAATGTGAATACACATCACAGATTAGATAGAAGCGTTAAATCAGTGTAAACTTCCTGCTTTTGATAACTGCACTGCAGTTATGAAAGAAAATGTTCTTGTTCTTACAAAATATGTACTAAAGTCTTAGCAAGGATAAGGGTGAGGATAACTGAGCTAAAGACTCATCCAATAACTGGATCAAAAAAAAATTTTTAATTCAGATAAATTTCTATGCCATGATTACCCTAATAAATCATTAAAAGATTGTGAGACTCTCATTAGTTCAGGTTTTTGTTAAGCTGCATTTAACTTCACTTTTGTTTAGCAGGCATGCTACCCTGCTAGAAAAAACTCTATGTATCCAAAACTGGTCATAAAACATGTACTGATTAATGTTTACACTCTGGGGGAAAAAAAAAAGCTCCAAATGGTTACAATGGTCAATTATATGTTACATATATTCTACCACATTAAAAAAAATTGCAAGCCCCATTTTTTAAAATTAGTAGATTCAAGAAACTTTGTCAAGGGACTGCCCCTGATGGTTCAGTGGTTAAGAATCTGCTGTGCAATGCAGAGAACGAGGGTTCCATCCTCTGTCGGGGAACTAAGATCCCAGGTGCCACATAGCAACTAAGCCCGTGCACCACAGCTACTGAGTGTGTGCCAAAATGAAGCTCCTGAATGCTGCAACTCGGACCCAAGGCAGCCAAATAAATAAATAAAAATAAATAAATATTTTAAAAAGAGAGAAACTTTGTCAAATTGCTATAAAACTTTATAAACCCTTAACTCTCAATCTTGCACCTACCATGTAGAGGAAAGGTAAGTCTGGGGGCCGAAGTGGGGATACAGACTGCAATTATGCTCTCCCACAGCTGTCTGTTTACCTGGCTTCCCTGCCTAGACTGCAGTCCCGCCCATGTCTGGTTCCCTACCAAATGCTCTGGCTCAGTGCCCAGAGCATGCTTGCCAACTCGGTGGATTGAGGGAATGTTCAAACAGTGTCTCTGGCCTCAGCTGCTAGGAGGGGCTACTCACCATTTGGAACCAGGAGGAGGCTCTTCACGATGCTTCTCAGGGGGCCAAGACTGATCTGGTTGGTGGTGGCAAATTCAGACAGCTGAGCCAGAAATCTTTCCACCTGCAGGCGGGGGACAGGACAAACCAGGCCTTCACTTCAAGCACCTCAGGATGCAGACCCACACTTGGGAACTTTCCTTATCACAAGATACTTTACCTCTTTTGGCTCAGTTAGGAAGTGGAAGAGCACTTCAGTCAGGGCTGAGAATTGCTGTGAAGAGAACACAGAACATCAGAAAATTCTACTCCTGATCAGTGCTCCCCTGTCCCATCCAACTACAGCCCCTTAAGAGAGAAGAGGGAGCTTCCATGGTGGCTCAGCGGAAAAAAGTCTGCCTGCAAATGCAGGAGACACAGGTTTGATCCTTGAACTGGGAAGATCCCACATGTTGCGGAGCAACCAAGCCCATGCGCAACTACCGAGCCTGTGCTCTAGAGTCCAGGAGCCACAACTACTCAGCCCACGTGCTGCAACTAATGAAGTCCTCTCAAGAACAAGCCACCATAATGAGAAGCCTGCAAACTGCAACTAGAGAAAGTAGCCACTGTTCACCACAACTCGAGAAGAGCCTGCTTGGCAGCAAAGACTCAGCAACACCAAATAAAACAATTCATCTTTTAAAAAAAGAGAGAAGTGAAGAGAACATCGATGTTGACACCAGTTTTTATTATCTTAGAGTTACAAACATTTGTAATTTGAAAAGATATAAGCACATTAATGTTCCCTGCAGCACTAGGCACAATAGCTGAGATACTGAAGCAACCTAGGTGTCTATCAACAGATAAATGGATAAAGATATGCTCCATACATACAATGGAATATTATTCAGCCATGAAAAGAATGAAATCTTGCCATTGGCAGCAACATGGACGGATCTAGAGGGTATTATGCTAAGTGAAGTAAGCCAGAGAAAGACAAATGCCACATGATCTCATACATAGAATCTGAAAAACTGAATAAAACAAAAATAGACTCATAGAGGGGAGAGGGGTGGGGTATGAAACAGGCTAAGGGGATTAAGAGGTCTGGACATTAGCCATAGGGATGTAATATACAGCATAAGGAATATGGTCAATAACATTGTAAAAAGTTAGCATAGTAACAGATGGTTACTAGACTTACCATGGTGATCATTTCATAATGTATGCAAATGTCAAGTCAGTATGTAGTTCACCTGACACTAACATATTCTATGTCAACTATATTTCAGTTAGGAAAAAAAAAAGTTACAAATATTCACAATACTCACCACCAGTGTCCATCTAACCATACCACTTGATTATCTGAAAAACTCATATATTTTGTTGGGATGCTTTCAAGATACATATTGAGAGACTGAGTGTGCACACACATGTTCACACATAAATCTCAAGGGGTCAAATACCTTCTAACACCTCCCCCAAAACAAGATCTGAAAGGGAAAATCACTGAAATAGTTTTTTTTTTTTTCTTCTCTTTTTGTTTGGTAAGGCCCAGCTGGCTCAAGTGCTAAAGAATCCACCATCCAATGCAGAAGACATAAGAGACGTGGGTTCGATCCCTGGGTCAAGAAGATTCTCTGGAGGAGGATATGGCAACCCACTCCAATATTCTTGCTTGGGAAATTCTGTGGACAGAGAAGCCTGTCAAGCTCCAGTCCACAGGGTCGCAAAGAGTCAGACATGTCTGAGCGACTAAGCATATACACACTCACTCTTTTTGCTTATACTTCCACATATTATTCAAACATAAATCAATCCAAATATATAATTTTTCCCATTTTCACTCTCATAAATGGTAACATACTACACGAACTTTTTCTCCACCTTACTTTTTTTTTGAGGGGCGTCCTGCATGTGGGATCTTAGTTCTCCGACCATGGATTGAACGTGAGCCCCCTGCACTGGGAGTATGGCGTCTTAACTACTGGGACGACCAGGGAAGAGGGAAGCCCCTCTGCCTTGCTTTCTTTTTTTTTTTTTTATTAGTTGGAGGTGCCTTGCTTTTGAAAGCAGTTGCTTCTGTGTGATTTTAAGTGATTTTTATTTTCTTGTTTTGTCTATCCATGTTTTCTGGGTTTCTCTCCCCCACAATAAACATCTTGTTGAGTATGTGACAGAACAGCAAATTTTAACACGTTATTGTACATTATCTTAATGAGTGATAGTCATGTCTGACTCTGCGATTCCATGGACTGTAGCCCGCCAGGCTCCTTTGTCCATGGAACTCTCCAGGCAAGAATACTGGAGTGGGTTGCCAGTCACTTATTCTTTTGCGCATGTGAACCTCTTTATCAGCACTATATTACTAAGAACTGAATATCTGTGTGCCCCAAAATTCATAGGTTTAAGTCTGAACCCCAATACTACTGTATTTGGAGGAAACACCTGTGAAGAGGTGACAAGGTTAAAAGAGGTCATAATGGTGGGGCCCTAATCTGGTAGGGCTGGTGCCCTTGTAAACACCAGGAAGTTCTGAGGAAGTCACCCCAGAGCTCTTTCTGTGAGGAATACGCTATGAAGACACAGCGTGAAGAAGGCAAGCCAGGAAGAGCGCTCTCACTAGGAAATGAATCTGTGGGCACCCTGATCTTGGACTTGCAGCCTCTAGAACTTTGAGGAATAAATTTCTGTTGTCCAAGCCACCCAGTGTGTGGTGTTTTGTCACAGCAGCTCACGTAGACTGAGACATTTACCATCCCTTTCCCATGTTCTCTCCTGATCGACACGGTGTGTGTGGCACAGTGAAGGAAACCACGACACGAGTTTAAAAGGCCCAGATGTGAATCACTGTTCTTCTGATCATCCGGGTGACCCCGGGCAAGTCACTTAGCCTCACCGTGTCTCAGTTGCCATCAGAAAGACAGAGGTAATAATACAGAGCTTCCAGAACAGTACTAACTGGCTCATACAAAGCCTCCAGTACAGTGTCAGACGAGAGGTTCAACAAGCCTCTAGTATGTATGTATGTATGTGTAGCAGTTACCACAGCCACAATTAAAGTCACTATGCCATTAGATCCACCTTTAACATTTAAACAAAAAAGACAACAGGCAGATATTGTGGCTCAAAGCCTCCAAAACTGTACATATGACTGTCAAATGCATTCGCCCCTTTTCCCATGACATATAAACTTTACACAAACCCCTGGCAAGGCTCTGTATTATTTTATTCTAAAATGTATTCTATTTTAAGATATAAAACTAGTCTTTGAAAATGTAAAAGTAATATACATGCGAGGTTTTAAAAAAGACCCACCCAGCTAACATAAAAGAATATATAAAATAAAATGTCTCACTCTCTCCCTGCCCCCTCTCACCTCAATCCCGCTACCCCCAGGTAAATATGCTAACAGCCCTGTGGCCTTCCCATCATTTCATTTTTCTTTAGTTTCTTGTAAATATAAATGGGATCATACTGAACCCACTCCCTGCACCTCACCTTTTTTCCCACTCAATTACACTTTAGAGATCAATCATATCAGCAGATATAAATCTACTCAGTTCTTTTAACAACCGCACGGCATTAAGACAGCATAATTTAGCTCCCTAGAAATGAACATTAGTATGTGTATGTGCCGATCTTATGTAAACGATGCTGCAATGAATATCCTCCCACATCTTTGTGAAATATGTATGTGTATGTCTATAAGATGTATTCTTAAAATGTATTCTAGGTGAAAGGATACGCTTTAAAAAAATTGTTTTTTTGGCCATGCCATGCCATATGGCAGGTGAAATCTTAGTTCCCCCGTCAGGGATCAAACCTGTGCCCACTGCAGTGGAAGCACAGTCTTAACCACTGGACTGCTGGGAAGTCTTATATACATTTTAAAAATTGAGGTATAGCTGACGTAAAATATTGTATCAGTTTCAAGTATACAATACAGTAATTGCTAAATTTTAAAGGTCATATCCATTTATAGTTATTATAAAATGTTGGCTATATTCCCTGTATTATATCCTTATAATTATTGTTGTTGTTTAGTTGCTAAATCATGTCTGACTATTTTGCAATCCCATGGACTGTAGCCTGCCAGGCTGCTCTGTTCATGGGAATTCCCAGGCAAGAACACTGAACTGGTTTGCTGTTTTCTTCTCCGGGGGATTCTCCCGACCCCGGGATTGAACCCGTACATCCTGGATTAGCAGGTGGATTTTTTACCACTGAGCCAACAGGGAAGCCCATCCTAACGATTGCTTATTTATTTTTTACATAATAGTTTGTGTCTCTTAACCTTCTGTCCCTATCTCCCTCCCCACTCCCCTCTCCCCACTGGAAACCACTAGTTTATTCTCTAAGATACGTGCATTTTAAATTCTGAGAAAATATTGCCAAATTGCCTTGTAGAGAAGTTGCATGGATTTACACTCCCACCAGCTAATGGTATCTTAGAAGTCTCTGCCTCCTCAAAACTCCATGGATGTTCCATAGAAACACTCTGGTCTTGCTGGTCCAGGGTTTTTCTTTCTATGATATTTATGATATTGGGTATCAGTCTTGCACAAATGTTAAGAGTAAAAACAAAAATAGTCAAGACGAGTTTGAGAATGGGTCCTCAAACTGAGTTTTCCTCTATTCCTTTAATTTTTTTTTTTTTTTTTGCTACAGATCTGTGGAACTGTCACATTTTTGGCCAACCATGTTTCCTATACCACTAGGGCCTTTAAAAAAAATGGGGTGACTGAGAGGGCCTCCAGCTGCTCTTTCATTTCCAGGCCTCAGCCTAACACTCAGGATGGAGCTCCTTGTGCGAACTCATCCCTGCCTTTCCTCCCATGAGCAGCCTCAAGCTACTCTGGTCTGTAGGCTGTTATCAACCCCCACCCCTATCTCCACTTTTCCAAACCCTCCTTATCCTTCAAAGCCCTGCCCAGATACCAGGACTCTCCCAACAAGAAAGGGACCTACCCAGATTCTTAACTTCTGAGGCTCCCTCTTGGAACCTCACCTGGGGGCACTTAAAATTTTCAATCTTGATAAGGAGTACAAACCTGTCTTAACAGAGAAGGTTTCTCCTCTGGCTTCTTAGGGTCATAGTACCTTAATTATTGAAAGTGCAGAGTTAAGTATCTGTTGAACAAATCTTCCCTAAACACCTTCCCCATTCTTTGCCTTTGTACCTGCATAACTCTCTCTCCCTGGAATGCTTACCTGCTCCGGACTAGCCATGAAATCAAAATCTTAAAGAATTCTCAACAGTTAAACATATGAAAAGAAGCCCAAGATTATTCCAGATGAGAAGTGCAAATCAGCAGAAAAAGGAGATACGATTTTTCATTTGTCAGATCTTCAAAACTAATAGTCTGATGGCACCAGGGTTGGAAAGTAACAGACGTGATTGCACACTGTCGAGAAGATAAACTGGGGCAAACTTTCTGGATTACAATTTGGCAATCCATGTCTAATTTGTCAAACGATCAAACCCTTTGACCTAGTAATTTCACTGCATGAAGCATACCCTTCAGAGATGTCCCAAAAAGTAAACTCAGACATAAACAAGGCAGTTTGTTGACAGCAACAAACAAAAATAAAAAACTGGAAGCAACTGAAGTGTCTATTAGCAGGGGACTGGTTAAATTATGCTATATCCATTTCAAGGAATATCACAAAATGCCTTTACTGTAAAAAAAAAAAAAAAAAGTTTTTAAAGGATACCCATAAATGTGATGGCAGATGCAGATTTTTTTCTTCAAAGATATATGAGAAACTATTAAAATGATGATTTCTGGAGACAAGAGAAATAGGCATTTTTATTTTAACTTTGTATCTTTCAGTACTCTCTGAATTTTCTAAACTTGTGTGCTGCTAGGTGAGAGACTGTCAACCATTTGTTTCCTTCTTTATATTTTTTCTTAATTTCCTCTGATAACCATGCTAAAAATGATTATTTTAATCCCACCTACTCTCAAGGCTCCATGTTACCTAGAACTGATCACAGCATCATAGAAAACATGCAGATTCACTTAGTAATGTACCATGTCTCCATTTTCTGACCTGCCACAGCAGATCACAACTTTCCCAGCACAACAGGCCTCATTCATCAAGACACTGTAAACTTTACTGGGTTTAGTGGCTATTTGGTGCATAGTAGGCATTCAGATAAATATCTATCAAATAAGCAATAAATAGTGATGCCGACATTAACACAATGACCTTGAGGCCTAAGTCTCAAGTAAAAGGCTAATGAAAGTACTAGCTAATAGAAATAGCTAATAGCTAATAAGTAATAGCTAACAGAAATAGCCAGACTAGCGGCTAATGAAAGCCAGCTAATAGACTGGCTACTCAGAGAAGTCTGACCACCCAAGAAAAGGGGAAAAACTGCCCAAAGGGCTTCGATAAGGGCTGCGTGCCCTTAAACTGGTCAAATTATTTCCCTAAACCATTTTTTCTTATCTGTAAAATGGGAATGGTAATAGTACCTGACTCCTAGGGTAGTTGCAAGAACTCAGTGACTTAATACACATAAAAGCACTTAAAACTGTGCTATACAGTACAATGGTCACTAACCATATTGAGCCCCTGAAAAAGGATAATCCAAAAAAAAAAAAAAAAACTAATCCAATTTGAGATGTGCTTTAAAATACACACTAGAATCAAAAACCTTAGTACCAAAAAAAAGTGAAACATCTCATCACTATTTTTTTATGTGGGTTACACATTGAAAATGATAATACTTTGATATAGTGGATTAAAGAAAGCACATTAAATTCATTTCCTCTTTTAGTTTTTAAATGTGGCTACTAGAAAATGTAAAAGTAGACCTGTGGCTTGTAGTTTATTTCTCTTGGACACCATGGCCATAGAACATGACTGCCATCACAGTTAGTGTTCCTTCATGAGAAAATACCAAGTTGTGAGGATGCTGAGATGACAGAGAGTGGCCCCACCTCCTGTGAAGTTACAACGCAGTGGGGGGGAATAGATGCATCTTTGCAGAGATCCCGAGACCTGTCATTTTAACTTGCTTAACTTGGCTGCCTTGGTGGTAGGAAAGGGACATCCCAAACAACACAGGGGCAGGAAGCCTTCAGGGTTGACTGGCTGGCACCTGCAGCCTGAAGAGTAAGAAAAAGCCTTTGACAGCTCCACTACCATCAAGGACTTGCCCTCCACTGTATAGGGTACATGGGTCTTTCCTTAGGGACCAGAAGTGCTGTGCTGTGCTTAGCCGGGTCAGACTCGCTGAGTCCATGGACGGTAGCCCCCGCCAGGCTCCTTTGTCCATGGGGATTCTCCAGGCAAGAATACTGGAGAGGGTTGCCATGGACTACCAGTATCTCCCTTAACTGGGGGGTGGGGGTGGAGATGAGGAGAGGATGTCATCACCAGCCTGCCCACAAAGCCACTCTGGCTTGGCCATTACCTACACCCACATCCCATCCCCAGATGACATGCCCCACTCCAGGCAGCTTCTGCCCCCTTGAGATGGTAAGACCCTCCTCAGTCTCCCCCAAGATCCCCCTACCCCGGTCTTCCTACTAAACATCTCAGTTCCTCACCTGACCCACCAAATTCCACGGCTCTCCCAAACTCCATCGGCCTCCCAAAGCCCTTAGTGCATTACTTTAATCTCCTTTCGGTCACATCAAGACTCCCCTCAGCCCCTCTTCCGGGATCCTGCAAACTCTCCTCGTCCCCAGGACCCCCGGAAGTCTCCTGGTACTATTTCTGGGCCGCCGAGGTTTCCCTGGGACCTTTCAGCTTGGCCTCAGGCCTCCCTTAATCGACCGGCCCTCAAAACTGGCCCGAGACCCTTAACTTCCCCCCGCCCCGCTCCGAACCCCCCCGCTCCGAACCCCTCCGCTCCCCCAAGCAGGATCACCCCGCACCGCGGCCTGCCGCGGCCCAACCCGCCAGCCCTCCCCGGGGACCGCGTCGACCCCGCGCCGCTGCCGTCCGGCCCACCTGGGCGCCCAGCTGGTTCAGCTGCTGCATGTCGCCGCCCACGGCCTCGGGCACGGGGTCCTGTGTGCAGTGCAGCCGGCCCATGGCGTCCGCCCGGCCCCGCAGGCCCCAGGCTCCCGCGCCTCCCCCGACTTCCTCCTTCGCGCGGCCTCCCTGGCCGCGCTTCCGCAGTCGCACTTTCGCCACCCGCCGCGGGCGCCGCCGCCGCGCTCCTCCCGGGCGGGTCCCCCGGGGGCGCCCTGGCCGAGCCGCGCACTCGCGCGCGGACCCCGGGTGGGGCGGGGCAGGGGCGCCCTGGTGGAGCCCAGGATACCAGCGATCGCTGTGCCCAGGCCAGGACCCTGAGTAGCAAAGCGTTGAGACGAGGACTCCCAGCGGGGTCTTCCGCCGCCGCTGGATGACCCCTGTGCACTGCGCTTGCCCCTTTGGAACTTGCTTCACTCTCCGTGTAAACGATCGCGGGGGTGGCGCCTTAAATGAGCTAACCCTCCTAAAATATTCAGAAGATAGCCAAGCACACTGAAGGTCCCCAATCAATAGCTAGCTGCTATCATTATCATCGTTATGATGCATTCAGCATATATTCAGTGCATGCCTCCTCTTAGATTCCAGGCACTGGCCATAGAAAAGTGAACAGACAGGCCCAGTGTCCCTGAGAGAGCTTGGGTCAGAGCAGAACAAAGCAATAAAATCTCAAACTTGGACTTGCACCAGCGTCATCTGGAGGGCTTGCTATAATGCCAATTGCTGGGACCCACCTCCAAAGGCTCTGCTTAGAAAAGCCTGGGATGGATCCTGAGAATTTTCCATTTCCAACAGCTTCCCAAAGACCACACTTGGGGAAACTCTGGCGTGGAGGAAAACTGACCCACAGAAGAGGAAGGTGGTCAGATTGGTGGAGGGGAGAGTTAGGGGACAGTGACAATCACTGCAGTCCTTGAAACACTGTAACCCCCATGTTCTCTTCCCAAGGATCCCTTGAAGTCCCAGATATTACCTGATTCCCATTGGGCAGATGGGAAAACAAAGGCATGCTCCTTGGAATCTAGGTCCTGACACCAAAGCCCCAAAGCATCTTCACCTGCCTCTTAGCCCAGACTTGAGAGTAGGGAGTGGGTGCCTAGAAACCTGGGTAGGGGAGTGTGGAGAAGACTGGCATTCCTCTATCCTTCCAAAAAATCCCTTCTGGAAAGGTATGAACAAAACTCCTTCATGCATTCATTCAACAGATAATCCGAGTGAGTGCCACCCCTGGGGCACATGTCCTGACAGGTGCTGGGACTCCACAGTGACAAAATCAGATGTAGTGCATGATTTCTAGAAGTCAGAGTGTAATCTGGGAGACAGACACACACGTATGTGTGTGTGAAATTATTAACTGATGCCAAGAGGAACAAAGTGCTTTGAGAATGTATACAGGGCACCTGTCCAAGTCTGAAGTACCTGGAAGAGAGTAAACCTTCAAGTTACTGACAGACAGGGACTGAGCTCAGACCCCCTGACTCACCGTCCAGGAATTTTAATTTTAAAATAGTCTTAACCTATTAAAAATGATCCCTGTCAGGGCCTTATATTTATTCATATCTTTGAGTATTAAATCAACTTTGTTCAGGTGTAATTTATATACAGTGAAATGCTCCCATTTTAAGTATGTTTCTTTAAATTATTTTTAACTTGAAAAAAAAAAAAGAACCTTGCGGAAACCACTAGATTTCCTTCATTTCTGCTCTCACAGTGGCTGGTTGTGAGGCACTCAATAAATATTCGTGGAATTGAATGTGACAGAAAATAGATAAAGGGAAAGACATTCACATGAAATTTCAGCCCAATACCGTGGGTGAGACAATAATCGTATTGTTTTCCAGTCTTTTTCTACTTCATAGGTCACTGGGGCTTCTGTGATTTGTTTCGTTTTTACATATTTTGGGCTCTCCCACTTTGCCAAGCTATTTGATCTCTGGTACTCAGAGTGTGGTCCTTGTACCAGCAGCTAGGACATTACCTGGAGAGTGGTGGAAATGCAGATTCCCAGGCTTAACCCAGACCTGCTGATCCAGCATTTTAAACTAAATCCCCAGGTGACTCATGATCACATTCAAATTTGAGGTATAAATAATCACTGCTTTAAAATGCCCACCACATGCTGGGCTTTATTTTAAGCCCCCAAAGACACACCTGTATGATATTAATACTTCCAATTGTCTATATCGTGTCCCTCATTTTATTTCTGCTTTCATGTTTATCACATTGTGTTTTTGCTATCATTTATACATCTGTCTCCTCTGTTTATTAGTCATGTTGTCTTGAGCAAATTACTAACCTTTTTGTGCTTCCATTTCTTTTTTCATTTGTACAAGTGGAGACAATGGTAGAACCTACTAGAAAATATGAAATGAGATAATGCTTGTAAAACACTTAGCACAGCAACTGGCCTACAGTAAGTGCTCAGCAAATGCTTGTTAGGAATAGTATTCCAATTTTTGAATCTTATAAAAAGAACATGGCAATAAGCATGCTGGTACACATTCACTTTTCACATCTGATTATTCCATGAGGAGAAATTCCTAGAAGGTCAAGGGATATTATGTTCAGACGTTCAGGGTTCAAAATAGTGCTAGGATGACAAACTTTTTTTTTTTTTTTTTACAAACTTTCAAGTAAGGGACAGACTAGACAATGATTGAGAACACCTGGAAATTAGCATTTCAGCCTGAACAGAACCTGGCAGCAGGCTTATTTCCCTGAAGAGGACCCTGCTTCCCTAACCTGCATCTCTCAGCCCTGAGAATTCCAAGTCCTCTAAGAGAAACCTCAGAACCTCACACAACAGCATCTTGGTTTCAATTATAAATGCTACAAAAACATCATCATAAAATGCGGCATAATATTCTACTGAGTGAAAATATAATGATGCTCGTAACGAATCCCCACTGGTTGCCTGTTCAGGTCTTTATAATTTTTCAATTTTATTAAGAATTTGGCAACTTACAAAGACAATAGATAAAAATTATCTTTCCAATGTTTTCCACAACCCACTCAGACAGAAAGGAGTGGTGATTACTGTTAATGAGATAACTTTGTAGCAGGAAATGCAGACCTGGGGCCAAGCCTCCTTCTAGAGAACCCCCGCCCCAGCAGCTCCCATTTCAGCCTTAATGAGGGACGTTGCTCCCTCCATTCACTTTAAAATGTCCCCGCGGAGGGCAAAAGAGGCCCCCAACCCCCACCCCTGCAAGTGAAAGGGGTTCATTAAGAAGTCCTTTCTCAGGCTAGAGGATTCCTGCTGGGAATTTCACCAAGGGGCTAGGTTCTCCCCAGGAGAATGGTTGACACTTCAGGCTCTGATATGCCAAAAGGCATCTTTAAAAATAAATAAATAAATAAACTTTTTATTTTGAGAAAACTGTAGATTTACTTACACTTGTAAGAAATCATAGAGAGAGACCACTGTACTCTTTTTCGAGTTTCTCTCTGTGCACAGATCTCATCTTGCAAAGCTAGAGTGAAATCTCCCAAGCCGGATACTGACTTTGGCACAAAGATACAGAACATCTCCATCACCACAGGGATCCTGCATTTTAACAGAAGGAACAAACTCCAGATCCTCCTCCTACCAAAAACTAGGGGGAAAATGCTATGGATATTTTTATGTTTCCATTGATGATTATCCTCATCATACTTTCAATATTATCTTTTTTATTATAAAAACATGTAACAAAAGCCACAAGACTACAGTTACCCTAGACTCTTCAAAACACCTATGTTATGAAAGTCATCAGCAAAGGAAGGTGCAGGAATTTTTCCGTATTAAAAGACACTGAAAAAGACAAAGTGATTACATAAATGCAATGTAAGACCCTGGATGGAGGTAAATGATTGCTATAAAAGATATTATTGGCACAACAATGTGAATATCCTTAACACTACTCAACTGTGCACATAGAAATGGCTAAGGGAGTCTCCTGGTGCTCCAGTGGTTAGGCCTCCAAGCTTTCACTGCCAAGGGCCTAGGGTCAGTCCCTGGTTGGGGAACTAAGATCCCACAAGCTGCGTGGCATAGCCAAAAAATATTTTAAAAGAATGAAAGAAGATGGTAAATTTTATGTGATGTGCTTTTCTTTTAACCGCAGTTTTTAAAAATGACATTATTGGAACAATTGATGAGATTTGAATACAATTTATAGATTGGATAATAATATTGTATCAATGTTTAATTTCCTGAATTGATCTTTGTGTTTGATTTATGTAAGATAATGTCTTTTTTTCTTAAGAAATACAAGCTGAATGTATTAAGGTAAAGAGGGATAAAGTGACTTAAGAAAAGAAATGAGGAGGGGATAGTGCAAATATGTCAAATGTTAACAGTTGGTGACTGGATAAAGAATATACATGGATTCTTTGTATTATTCTTACAACTGTTTTGTAAATTTCAGTTTATTTACAGAGTATATTTTAAAGGAATTTTTCTCACATCCTGTCAGATGATAAATTATTTTCTATTTTAACTAATACATCTTTGAGTACTCATTCTGGGTGAGGTGCCTGGCATTTATGCATTTTCTTCTTTAATCCTCTCAGTAACCCCACCAGGAAGTCTTAACTTAACCTTGGTCTTTTTTTTTTTTTTTTTTGTAGAAGGGGGGATACACTTAGAGAAGAAAGGAGCTAATCAAGGACACTTGCTGATTAAGGGTAGGGCTGAGGTTGAAACCTCCCAAAGGTGTTCTCAGGATCCTTCTGGAATGGCCTAATAGACTTCTTTCTCCATATTTTTTTTTTTTTGGAACCATGGACTCATATATACAGAGCTTGCTAGGTGGTGCAGTGGTAAAGAATCTACCTGCCAAGCAAGAGGTGCAGGTGTGATACTCTGGAGAAGGAAACAAGCAACCCACTCCGGTATTCTAGCCTGGGAAATCCCATGGACAGAGGAGCCTGGTGGGCTATATAGTCCATGGGATCACAAAAGAGTCACAGCTTAGCGACGAAACACACACACACACAGTTTACAGCACTTAGCATCTTGCCTTTTCACTTAGCAGTATATCTTGTAGCTCCGTCCATATCAGCATTTACAGACTTGCTATTTCTTTTAATAACAGCTGTATAGCCTGGATAAATCCTACCTGATTTAACCAGGCTACTACTGATGGACACTTAGGGTTTATCCATGTTTGCACTATTACAAACTTACGAACAAAGCTAGAGGGGACATTCCTACATATACAGATAGCTGCTTTCTAATGAATGGAATTGCTGGGTCGGTACCTTTTTTTTTTTCGGTCAGGGCACTTAGGGTCAGGCCACTCAATCCCTGTGACCAGGGGTTGAACCTGGGCCCTGGCAGTGAAAGGGCCAAGCCCTACCCACTGGACGACTATGAAATTCTCACTGGGTCAGTAGCTTCCATTTTGGAAGGATTTGCCAAACGCCCAAGAAGGTTTGGAGTCAGTTTTGTGAATACGTCTATCCATTCCTGGGACACATTTTCACTGAACACCTATTATACGGCATGGTGCTGGATGCTGGGGCAAAGCAGTGAGCTAGGCAAAAATGCCCTGGTTGGGAGGCTATTAAGGGCAGAGGAAATAAAGAGCTTAAAATAGAAAGATTAAAAAAATAGAAAGATAGTAAATCAGGACCAGGTAGGGAGCAAATTCACTAACACATGGGGCATTGGAGGCATTGCTGATTACTTTTTAAATGGGCTCTGAGCTTGCTGGAAGCCAGGGGTGCATGCGTGCATGCTAAGTTACTTGAGTCTGTTTGCGACCCTGTGGACCAAAGAAGCCTTGGGAGAGGAGTCATTCCACTTTTAGTTTTTTATCCTTATGCATGTAAATGAATGTAAACAATACTCTATTGTTAGACTCCCAGAACAGTTCCAGTTTTTTTACTTTTATATAGGATGTGGTGATGTATTAATACTTGTCTGTTCAAAAATATTTCTCTAATAAATCTCAAGATTTTTCCTCGAGACAAATTTGAGAAGTGGAATTCCTGGGGTAAAGTTTAAACCTGTTTAAGATCCTTGGCATTAGCTCCAGTGGACATTTACACTGTCCCCTCCAGAAATTTGCTTCTTAAAGGGCCCTTTGGCACTTCCTAGTTTTGAGGGTGGGGGTGATAATGCCTCTACCCTTTCGGAATCTCACCATTTATTTCAAATTCAAGGTGGGATTCACTTTGCTTGAGAAAATGAGGCCTTGGATCCCTATTGTCTGCTTTGTTTTTCTCCTCAGGATGATTATAAAGTGAATGCCTGGCCTGGGCCCCAATTTAGGACTGCAATGCAAATTGCTGCTGGGTGTTGTGAACACAACCTGGGTGTAACCTTGGAGGAGTCCCTGGGGAACTTTCTCTTCTAGACCATTTTGATTATCTGAAATCTGGAGGAGCCTACTGATTCTTTGAAGTAGCAGATATTTTTTTTTTTAAACTTTTTATTTTATATTGGAGTATAGCCCATTAACAATGTTGTGTTAGTTTCAGGTGTACAGCTAAGGGACTCAGCCATAAATATACATGTATCCATTCTTCCCCAAGGCAGCAGATACTTATTGAGCACCTACTCTGTGCCAGGCCTTGTGCTAGGTGTCCCGGACATAGCAGTGAACAAGACAGGCTACTGCACTGCCTCCGTGCAGCTCCCAATCTGATGGAGGAGACCTGCTGTATTTTTGAAGAGTCACTTTTTATCCAAGAGTCACATTTATCCAAGAGTCACTTCCTGGATAAATCCCAGGAAGAGAGTAGGAACTTGTGGGCAGGTTCAGTGAGGACAGGGGTAGAAGCCAGGCATGAGTAGACAAATGAAAGTTAAGCAGGGTCCTCAGGCCTTGAACATATGAATTAAACAACCTGATGGAAGTCCTGGGGCCCTAAGCATGTCACCTAGCCTTTTTGCACTACTCCACAACTCACAGTCACTTTCCAAAGCCCAGCCTGCAGGCAGGGTTATCGCCAACCTGTATGTATAGACTTCCTGCAGATTGGAGGGAGAGGGCCTGCCCAGAAGAGATAAGGGCAGGTCTGGACAAGGGGATTCCATCTTTTCTATGCTTATCCTGAAATAAAAGAGGAGGCAGAGTCCAGATCCAGAGCAAACTCAGGAAGTAGAATCCTTCCTTTCTAGTCCCTCAACAACAATAATTGTTATTATTACTATATATCAGATAGTGATGTTCTGTATCTTGATAGGGGATGGGTTACACAGGCATGTGTGTGTGTATATGAATGTTCAGCAAATGTACATCTGAGATTTGTGTGTATCAGTGTGTGAAAAATTTACCTTGGAACCAAAGCAACTGTAAACAAAAATAAACTCCCATTAGTGATATGCAGGTTGAAATGTTTAGAGGAAGTATACTGATGTCTGCAACTTATATTTTGAAATGCTTCTAAAAGTAAGATGGATAAAAGTATAGATGTGTAAGCTGGGTGGTAGATATAAGGGAATGTGAAAGTCACTCAGTCTGACTCTTTGCGACCCCTATGGAGTATACAGTCAAGGGAATTCTCCAGGTCAGAATACTGGAGTGGGTAGCCTTTCCCCTTCTCCAGGGGATCGTCTCAACCCAGGGATAGAACCCAGGTCTCTGCATTGCAGGCAGATTCTTTACCAGATGAGCCACAAGGGAAGCTTGGTGGGTATGAGTGTTCTTCATAATTTCTTTCAACTTCATTGAATACTTGAACGTTTTCATAGTGAAATGTCAGAACATTATAAAAACAATTAATAAATTGTTATATAGTCAGTCACCTGTGATAGTTTAACAGTAATTCTTAAAACTGAAAATGTCTAGGAGCTCCCTGGTAGCAGGTCAATCAGGGCAGAAGTCTGGGTGTTCCTGTTGAAAAGGGAAGGTGAGGAACCCACTTTGCAAATGAACGTGGCCTCTAATGACACTGCAATTAAGACTGAGTACTTTACAATGGGGTTCTTTCACATACATGGGCTCTGCGAATCCCCGCAGTCACTCCTGGAAGTAGGCATCAGTATTATTATTATTCCAATTAGAAGGGGAAGACTGAGGCTCAAACTCCTTAGCATAGCACACGAGGAGGGGGGGGGGGGGGGGGTGGGGTCACAGCGAGTGGGGGTTGAGCAGGGAGTCTAGTCCTGAGCTGCCACCCACCAGCTGTGGCTCAGCCTAAAGACCTCACTACGCAGTCTCGTAGTCTCATCTGTAAGATGGAGCTCATCCTACTAGACTCCGCTCGTAGAGGTGAACTGGGCTGGCCTCAGCACCTGGGAGCCTAAGGGACTGGGTTGTGTGACCCTGAGGAGGAAGGATGGATGTTCATCTCTGTACCAGCCAGGGGCCCAGTGTAGCACATACTCATCATTAATAACAAGGTAGTTTTATAATTTAACAAGCACTTTTATGGTAGTTTACATGTTCAAAATGCCTCCCATGTATTAACCCATACAGATCTTCCAACAACCCTGTGAAGGAGTTACTACTTTCATTTTACAGGTGAAGAAACTGAGGCACACAGAGATGAAATTACTTGCTGATAAAAATACCGACCATAGGGACTTCCTTGGTGGTCCAATGGCTAAGACTTCGAGCTCCGAATGCAGAGGCCCGGGGTTCCATCCTTGATCAAGGAACTAGATCCCGCATGCCACAATTAAGACCTGGTGCAGCCAAATAAACAAATAAAAATAATATTAAAAAATACCAAAAAATAAACAAAAAAATACTGACCATATACGGAGAGCCTACTGGGCATCAGGCACTTCATGTATTATGGAAAAGCTGCAGCTGCTCTAAAAGCTGAAAAGAGGATGGTATAATTCCACACATACAGAATATTTAATCTCAACATAGGCAAAAATCCATCATCCATTGATTTATTAGCATGAGGGCATTAAGGGTGTAATATATGTGTGTTTTTTTCTTTTTAATGTCAATTTTTTTAGGAGGAGGCTTTTAAAAATTTGAGATAGTTCCTAATTTACAGACGACTTGTAAGACTAGCATAAGGAACTCAAGAATGTCTTTTTAAGCAGATTTTCCATTTGTTTACATTTTTGCCCCCTTTGCTATCCACTCTCCCTCTGCCATATATATGCATATTATTGTTTCTGAACCTTTTTATAGAAAAATTGATGATTACATTGTGCCCGTTTATGCTTCAATACTTCCTGTTTATTTCCTAAGAGTATTCTCTTCTCTATGTTATTTTGTTGTTGTTTATTTTTTTGACCATGCCTCTTGGCTTGCAGGATCTCAGTTCCAGGAGCAGGAATTGAACCCAGGCCAAGGCACTGGAAGCCTGGCTTTCTAACCACTGGCCCACCAGAGTACTCCCTCTTATCTATCTATCTATCTATCTATCTTTTTGAAAACAAATGTACTTTAATCACAGAATTTTTGTTGTATCCTTAATAAATACTGATTGGCATCATGATTATAATGATTGTGATGTGTCACAGTAAATTTTTAAGTAAACACTGTTGCACCAGTATGCAACCAGAGGAAAATCTGAAATCCTACTCAGGTGTGTTTTAAACATCTGAATCAGAACATGGCTTAAATGGGGACATAGCCACCATGGCTTGGCCCCTGTTACTTTTTCCCACCTTACTCCCTATGCCCTAGCCATGTTGGCTTCCTGGCTGTCCCCCCCACAAGCCAAACTGGATCCTGACCTGGGTCTTCCCCTGGCTACATCATTCCAGTCTCCATTTTAATCTTCTTCCCAGATTTAGCTACCCTCCCCAACCATCAGCTAAGCTCTGAACCTTCCCTTCTGAATTCCTAGTCAGGTAGTAGGTGCTCAAAGTCAGGCTGCATGGCTGACTCACTTCACACAAGTCCTTTTATTCTCTGGGCCTCAGTCACCTAATCTGAAATGAGCACCCAATTCTCCCTGCCCTGATTTCTCGTGGAGTGGCTGAGAGGCTCAAAGGAGGTAGTGAATATGACCAATGAACTTTGTAAACTGTAAAGTTATGTGCCACAGGGAAACATGCCATTTTTGTTTCACTTCCTTTCCAAATGACAGGACAGAGACCACTTGCTTATTCAGACCTTGTCTGTTTTTCTTCCTGGAGTTAGGCATGTTGATGTCCCCAGAAATGTCTGCCATGTCCCCCTGAACCCTACTTTTTGTCATCTTAACTATATATACCTTCCAGGCATTCCCAGTGGTATACAGACATCCTTTGACACATGGAGGTCTTAGAGCTTATGGATCAGAAAACAGAGACCCAGCAGCCCTCCCCACAGACCCACCAGCTTCATATATAATTTCTTTCCTCTGAAGACTTACCCCAGATGGTGGGAACAAGTGACAGGCCCTCTTGAGATATCTTCTTCTTGCACCAACTGACTGGAACCCAGTTTTGGATGCTTGTGCCAGAAGGTCAAGGAGTTCCTGCCACTCATTTACATGAGGCTTGCCTGGTCACTGAGCCCATCTCACTTTCACATTTCCAACACCAAATAGCTACACGTGCTACAGAGAGAATGAAATAGGCGTGAAGGAGAGGACTATTCAGGTTGCTTGGTCAGAAAAGTCTGCCCAGAAGGTGACATTTTGGGAGAAAACTGAATGGTACAGAGATCTGGACAAAGAACACCCAGAACCAAGCTTGATGCGTTTGAGGATCAACAGCAAGGATTAGAAGATTAGAGTGAAGTGAGGGAGGGATGAGGATAGGAGATGCCTGGGAAGGCAGGCAGGAACCAGCTCACCTAGGGCCTTTGCAGGCCATCGTGTCATCATTCATTTGCTCTCTCATTTCATTCAACATTTATTTGGCATCTACTGTGTCCTAAGACATACTGAGACACTGCCCTCACGGTCGGATACATAGACACACAATGTGCTGTGCGTAGTGGCTCAGTCATGTCCGCCTCTTTGTGACCCCATGGACCGCAGCCCACCAGGTTCCTCTGTCCATGGGGATTCTCCAGGCAAGAATACTAGAGTGGGTTGCCTTGCCCTCCTCTAGGAGTTCTTCCCAACCCAGGGATCGAACCCAGGTCTCCTGCATTGCAGACTAACACAAAAATAAGCAGGTAAGTGAGTGTAGATGCCAGGTGTGGGAAATATTAGGAAGGGCGTTTTCCAATAGTTCAATGCCCCTTTTGGAGAAAGAAATGGCAACCCACTCCAGTACTCTTGCCTTGAGAATCCCTTGGACAGAGGAGCCTGGCCGGCTACAGTCCATGGGGTCACAAAGATTCGGACACGACTGAGCGACTGACACACAATGTCCCCTAAAGGGCAGAGGCCATCAAGACCTGCTAACAGAGTGGGGCTTCTCCCTCAAGTAATGCCGACTGCACCCCAGAAGCCAGCCAGGGACCTGACTACCTTGGCTCCTCCGCTCTCCCTCCCCTCCGCTCAAGATGGCCGACGAAGGGCCAGCGCGGTGGGAGGAAGGGAGAAAGGACTAGTCTGAGGGTCCAGAGCGGGTTGACTGACCCGCGGGGGCACCGCAGCGCCCAGGTGGCCTTGCGGCTGGGAGTTGGGGTAAAGGGGAGACCCGGCTGTTGTGTAACTCTGTGGGGGGAGGCGGGGGGTTCTTCCTTCTCCGCCCCCCCCCACCCCCAACCCCCGGACATCCAGGCCGGCGCGTGTGTTCGAGGTCGGGGTGGGGGCCGGGGAAGAGGGGCCCCGGGAGCAGTCTAGAGACTTGGGCGACGTCTGCGGGGTCCCCGAGACGCGCCTGTTATCAGGGTGGAGATTTAACCGACCAGTGTGTGGGGGGGTGTGGGGCGAAGGGGAGGCTCCGGAGCGATTTCAAATTTCCCTCGTCCCCGCCCCCCGCCCCCCGCGCCCGAGGCCCGGCTCTGAGTGGCTGCGGCAGGGGCGCCCCCGGGCGGGGGCGGGGCGAGTGCCAGGCCGGGGTTACAAGGGGACTCGGCACCGCCCCCTCCCCACCCACTCCAGCTGCCGGGTCCTGCCCGAGCCGCTTCCTCGCAGCAGCCGCACCCCCTCCCTAGCCCGGCTGCCGCTGCCCGCGTGGACGCCCCGAGCGCCCCCCGACGGACGCCACCGGCTCACTGGCAGCAGGCAGGCAGGCAGGCAGGCGAGCGGGCGGCCGCGCCCGGCCGGCAGCGCGAGGGTTAAGTGACCCAAGTAAACGTAGCTCGGCGATCAGCGCCGGAGATTCGCAAGCCGAGCGCCCTGCGCGGCCGCCCGCCGGCCTCCCGCCCGCCTGTCCGAACCCGCGGCTCGACCCGCGGAGCCGCGCCCGAGCCAGGCTCTCGGCAGGTGAGCGCCCCGTGGCCCCCGGGGAGGCTTGCCAGACCGATGGTTTCGTGGGCTGGTGGGGGAAGGGACCGTAGAGGGGTCCCGGCACCGCAGGGAGGGAATCCCGTTCCGGGACGTCCTGGGGAGGCGGTTCCCGCACGGCTGGAGACCGGGCATGGTTGGGGAGGAGAAGTCCCTGATCCTACTGCGGGGAAATGGGCAATGAGGATAAAATTGGCGACGGCGAAGGCATGTGTCTTACAGGGAGACACTTGCGGTGTTCCGGAGACCCAGAGGAGGAGAGAGGTTCGTCCCCAGGGAGGGCGCCGGGCGGCCTTCCCGGGGTCTAGACTCGAGGGGAGGAGGTCTCCTACTGGTGAGAAGTGGAGTTAGTGAAGCAGGGGTATTCTTACCTTGCCTCGGCTAGAGAGGGAGTCTACTTGGGAAGGGGGACGGGGCAGAAGAGAGTTCTGCCGAGGAGACGACCGTCCGTCCTTTATGACTGGGACCTGGGGGTTCAGCCAAGGAACTTTTTTTTTTCTTTCTGCCTCCCGGGGACTGGGGAGAGGTAGTGGATGGGCGCGGGAGAGCAGGTGGACCGGTATGTGCGCGCTTCCCAGGGGCATGTGCCAGAGGGGCGGGCTCGCAGGGTCCCCCCTGGGGGACCGACGGAGACCGAGGTGCGGCGGGGTTGCGGGGATGCCCTAGGGAGAGGCTGCCTTCACGCTTGTGCACACCTGGCCGGGGAGGAGCTGGCCCGGAGCGGCGCGTCCCTACCCGGCCACGCTGCCTGCCCTGGGGCCTCACTTTCCATTTTTCCCCCTCTTCCAAGAGTCGGGCTGGTCCCACTTCGCAAACTTGCAAACTGAGGCCTGAAAACCTCCAGCGCTACCTCGGTGCCCAGTGAGATTGTTTGCTGCTGGTGGGTAGGTTCTGAGTCCCACTGCCCAGACGAGAAAGGAAGTTGGGGAAGAGCCGGCAGAGGTAGCAAGTTAGCAACAGAGTTGCTTGCTCTTGTGGCCTGGGTTTTCCTGCTGGAGTCACCCACCTGTGGCAGGGAAGGGCTGCAGGAGTTCTGGGCCCAGGCCGGCTTGTCCATGCTGCCTCCTTCACTCCCAGGCTGAAAGAGGCTGGCTGGGCCCTGATGCTTCCCCGCCGCGAGCTGAGAGGTGTATGCATTAAAGAGAATTAAGGACAAGGTTACGATATCTGACTTTCTGCCTCCTGATTTCTGGATGCTGTGAGTTTTGGCAAACTGGTGGCAGTTGTTTTAGGGAGCCAGATCCCTGCTGGGGCCCCCATTTCCAGGATCCAGGACACTGAACTGCCTCTGTTCTCCACCAGGACTGCTGTGACTTCTTGCACCCCAGCCATTGGAATCCCCAGGTGCAGACTTGGTCTTTCCAGCTTTGAAATGATGCTACCTATTTTATAGGGCTGGCATACAGAAATCCCCCAATAAAGTTTGCCACTCCTTATCTATCATGTGGGATAAGTAGGGGGGATGCATAGATCTTTGGCATGTGTTTAAGTCTGTCCATGTAAATCTGCGGCCCTCTGTGCCTATTACATTTGTGAAATGGGAACAGGCATATTAATATCTCCAAGTTGGGTAAGAAGGAAACCAGTTTTACACAATTTAAACTAACCCTCTGTGTTCCTCAGATGATGTGATAATTCCTATCACATTAGGCTTGGGTTAGGACTCAATACTTTAGTGCTTGGTATAGCAGGTGGTGAATAGTATTGTATTAATTAACCATTAGCACCTCTTTTTAGGGTGGCCATTAATGAGAATTGGGGAGGATGCAGGCCAACTGCCATCCCCTCCTTCCCTCCCTCCAACGAAGGTTGTCCTCTCAAGTATGGAAGATTTTCCGAATCATTGTCCTCGATTTGGGAGTTGGAGGAAAGGGTGCCTTTGTTCCTTTTTGAAAGGAGCAAGTTTTTGTCTTATGGGTTGGGGCCATTTTTACACCCCCACCCAAGTTTGGGACCTGCCTTGAGGGTGCAGAACTACGGGAGAGCCTTTCCTTTTCTGTTAGGGTGGAGAAGGCTGAGACAAAGGGGCTGGGGCTGGGGCCTGCTCCATCCTGCTCCTTAAAGCCATAAGCAGTACCTCCAACCCCTGCAAAGTTTGCAGGGAGGGTAGGAGGGTACTTGGGAGCTGCAGGGGGTGCAGGGGAGGAGCCAGGGAGGTGGGGCTGTGAGAGGCTGCTTCCCCTCCTGCCTTTCCTCCTGCGATGTGGGGCCTGCAGCCCAGAGGGGCCTGTCTCCCTTTCTCATACTACAGCTCCAAGCTCCTTGATGGAGGGTTTGGGTGAGTTCTTCCCAGAAGAACTTCCCCGGGACTAACTCCTTTGTCTCAGACCAACTCTCCTGCCTGATGTCCCTCCAGGCTCAGATACTTTTCTGTTTCACCCGAGATGATCCTCGCTAAATCTGAAAGGCTGCTTGGTCTGACACCATGGCAAGGGCCTATACCCCAACCCTTCGGAGGTACAGGCACACTCTTGGAGTTTTAAAATCATGAATTTAGGGTGATTTTTTTTTTTTTTCCAGTTTCATGGCAGATCAGGGCTGCAAGAGTACCGAATTCTCATGTTTTCAGCACTCTCTTTGTAAAGTGATGGGCTATGTTCTCACAGGGTCAAAAATTTGCCACTGATGGACTCAAGAGTTGCAGGTACTTAGGCAGCCTGCTGATGAGTGCTTTACAAGCTTTCACATCTGCCACTATCCCAGACAAGAGTGAACCTCCAAAAGGGAGCAAGCCAAGTCCAGGTGTTCAAATGTATCTGGCCGTGGCTAGCGGGAAGTGGCCTCCTAAATGCAGAGGGAGACCACATGTGGGGACCCGGTGCTGATTACTACCTGTATGTGAAGTGAGTGAAGGTATACACACCCCCAGTAGAGTTGGAAGGAGGATGAAATGGAATTCAGCAGCCTTTTAGGACTTGGGCCCTAGGGGGCCCCCAAGTATTGTAAAAAGTCTGTTATGTTGTAGGTGATGTTAGTCATTGAAATCAACATACTCATGCGGCCTGGGCTGCCTAATCAAATCAGGATTTATATCCAATTCACTACATTTATAAGCTAGTGACCTGAGCCTCAGTTGCTCCATCTGTAAAATGGGGATGCATTGTTGCCCAGTTAAGGGGATGTTGAAGTCAGTTGAGATCCTATTAAAAAGTGCACATAATGAGGATTTAATAAATGTCACATTGTGTAGTCAATACTGAGATGATGGCTAGTGGTAATTATTTACTTGCTGTGAGAAACAGTCTTAGTTAGCATTCCTGAGGAAATAAGCAAAAAGTGAGGAGGATCTGTTTTGTGTAGGGAATTAGAATATTTCATCAAAAGGATTTTCATTGTGTTTGATACAAATGAAAATCATATTTGCCATTTTCAGATGTAAAGAAAAAACAGATCATGGCCTGTAATCTCACAGTCCCAAGGTAATCAATGTTTGGGGGCCCTCTCAGTTTCTTCCAGAAGTGGAGAAAGCGTAGAGAGAAGCAGCAGTCCATCCTAAGCAAAAAAGACAAGAACCCAGGGAAAGTGCGGTGTGGGGAGGAAAGGCCCTCCATTGGCGAGGTTTCCCAGTGCACTGTGGAAAGTGCACTTTGGGGCCAGCTCCCCAAGTGAATGGGAGGACTTTTAGAGACCCACTGGCCTCTGCTCTTTTCCC